GAGAGCTAGAGGAAGAGAAGAGAGAGAGAGAGAGAGAGAGAGAGAGAGAGAGAGAGAGAGAGAGAGAGAGAGAGAGAGAGAGAGAGAGAGAGAGAGAGAGAGAGAGAGAGAGAGAGAGAGAGAGAGAGAGAGAACGAGAGAGAGAGAGAGAGAACGAGAGCCAGAGAGAGCCAGAGCCAGAGCTAGAGGAAGAGAGAGCAAGAGCGAAAGCCAGAGGAAGAGAGAGCGATAGAGAGAGCGAGAGCGAGAGAGAGATAGTGAGAGCAAGTGCCAGAGGAAGAGAGAGCGAGAGAGAGAGCGAGAGTGAGAGAATGTGTGAGAGTGAAAGTGTGTGTGTGTATGTGCAGTATTTTTGCAGATGTTTTACATTATTTGATGTAATTTAATTTACTATATTCTTAATCATAAAGAGGTACAATGAAGGTTGTTATACCGTCTTCATATATGTAGCTGTAATGTATCATAAATCTTGTAGAAAAAACGTAATAAACCATAAATTGGACGTCCGACAGAATTTATATAAAAAAGTGGCATATACTGTGATAGCATTTATTCCTGGATATGTAAAACCTACTTGGCAATTCAACCCCCCAAAATTCTCCCAGTTTTTTATTCAGTGTTTTCCAATTTAATTGTTTTGATGCAAAGATTTTATTTATGCAAAGAGGCATTGAATAGAACTGATCATTTGTTTATCTTACAAGTAATGAATTAATTGATATCATGTTTACCTTTCAATAAATGATAATGTTTGAGCTTTGTGGTTCGTACTATATTGCTGTTATTTGCTATGTTTATATATAATACATATATATATATATATATATATATATATATATATATATATATATATATATATATATATATATATATATATATATATATATATATTATATGTATATATTTATAATTATATTATATTATATGTATATATTTATAATTATATTCATATTTATATGTATATATTTATAATTATATTCATATTTATATGTATATATTTATAATTATATTCATATTTATATGTATATATTTATAATTATATTCATATTTATATGTATATATTTATAATTATATTTATATTTATATGTATATATTTATAATTATATTTATATTTATATGTATATATTTATAATTATATTTATATTTATATGTATATATGTATAATTATATTTATATTTATATGTATATGTATATATTTATAATTATATATATATTTATATGTATATGTATATATTTATAATTATATATGTATTTATATGTATATGTATATATTTATAATTATATATATATTTATATTTATATGTATATATTTATAATTATATATATATTTATATTTATATGTATATATTTATAATTATATATATATTTATATTTATATGTATATATTTATAATTATATATATATTTATAATTATATATATATTTATATTTATATGTATATATTTATAATTATATATATATTTATATTTATATGTATATATTTATAATTATACATATATTTATATTTATATGTATATATTTATAATTATACATATATTTATATTTATATGTATATATTTATAATTATACATATATTTATATATGTATGTACATGTACATATATTTACATATATGTACATATGTACCAGTGTATATGTATATGTACACATATATATCTACATCTGTGTACATATGTACCAGTGTATATATATATGTACACATATATATCTATATATATGTATATATGTACACATATATATCTAATCTGTGTACATATGTACCAGTGTATATATATATGTGCACATATATATCTATATATATGTATATATGTACATATGGACAAGTACATATGTGTACATATGTACAAGTACATATTTGTCCACCTGTTTTCTCTAATGGGTTTGAGAATGAAAGTTCTTACAAGCGAGGTGCAACAAGCAATCCCTTTGGATATCAGAACAAAGTTCATTATGATGAATGTAGGGAAAAAATTTGGATAATAATGAATAACTTCACAGTGCAAGAGGTGTATTTCATTTGTTTCGCTTATATTGTCATCAGGAATACGTGTGAGCAAGATTTTAAAACAAGTATACTAGACTTGAGCTGAAGATTCGCCAGATATCTATGACCTCTTGTTATTGAGTATTATAGTGTATAACTACAGTTCAAAAGATGTATTATGTGCATTTTGATTTCAGAGCACAAGAGCTATATCATCCTCTTAAATACATGTGTCAGCAAAGTTTGAAAGCATTTATCAGACATGATCTGAAAATTTACCTGACACTGTTAAACACTTGCTCGTACTTGTGTAATAGTGTATAGGACAAAAGATGTTTTGTGTTCTGTTTCGATTATATATATTCTCAGAAATCCATTTGTCAGCAAGATTTTAAAACACAGATATCTATGATCTCCCACTCGTTACTTGCATAAAAGTTTTTGCTGTTTAACTTTCAATTTATTCAGATTTGTCTCCCTCCGATTAGTGTAGTTCAATAATAATATCTCTCCCAACC